AGCGGTTGTGGCAAGGTCAAGTGCAGAGGTTGAGTATAGATCCATGGCTCATGGTGTCTCAGAACTTCTTTGGGTTAGATCTCTTTTGAGTGAGATTAGGGTGAAAGTAGAGGAACCTATGAAGTTATACTGTGACAATCATGCTACAATCGATATTGCCCACAATCCAATTCGGCATGATAGGACAAAACACATTGAAGTTGATAGACACTTTATAAGAGAAAAGGTAAYAACCGGAGAAGTCTATTTGCATTATGCCTCTTCAGAGTTGCAGCTGGCTGATGYCCTCACTAAAGGGGTGGTAAAGAACAAGCTTGAACATAAACTAYGCAAGTGGGGAATGTGTGACATTTACTCCCAACTTGAGGGGGAGTGTTGAAGATTAATCAGTTTTATGATGTTTTTTATGAGTAGATGTTTTATGTTAGTTGTTAGATAGGAGGTGGGGACCACAATAGTTATGTGAGTCCAAATTTTATTATGTTTTTGTGTCTTATATATGTTGTTTTATGTCTTGCCGCCCTATAAGGGCATAGTTGTCTTTGTATTGCTCTCCTTTCTTTTCAACTTCTCTTCTTCTCTTCTTCTCCTTCTCTCTTCCTTCTTTCTTCAAGAAACTCCTTTTATTTCATATGTTTTTAATTCAGCAAGCTTTCTACTAATTGTTATGGGATTAAAAAACAACTTATCTACCAATCGAAAAAAATATTATTTGATTTTCTAGTTATTATAGTTCAGCCTAATATTATTAAAATTTCATATGCATATATTAGCAATTTGTCCAAGACTGACTGAGTTATGTAACTGGATGAGTCGGATCATTTATTTTTTTTTCTACCAATGTTGTAACAATCATTTGAACAGCTCATCAATCCTTCTACAGTTTTTCAAAGATGCAACACTTCAAAGAGAATAAAGGTTGCTATTTAGAATAACCAAATTGTTGATGTTCAAGATTTGGGATCTGATGCATGGAATAGATGGCAAAAGAGACAAAAATAACAGTTCTACTTAACAAATCCACTTCTTAGTTATGAACCACCAGTGTTTAAAGTGCAAGGCGCAAAAAAGGTGCAAAGGCCAATTTGCACCCAAGGTGAGAGGC